GTGATCTTTTCTGCAATCCTCACTGTCCGCTGAAGTCTGTACTTGTCCTGTTTGGTTGCTGAGCCAAACCAGACAGTGATGGAGGTGAAGAGAACAGACTCGATGATTCCTCTGTAGAACTGTATCAGCAGCTCCTGAGGCAGGTCGAACGTCCTGAGCTGGCGCAGGAAGTACACCCTCTGCTGTGCCTTCTTGGTGATGGTCCTGATGTTGGACGTCCACTTCAGGTCCTGGGAGATAGTGGAGCCCAGGAACTTGAAGGACTTTACTGCTGATATGATGACTCTTCTTCACTTGTGCTACAGTCTGTTATAATACATTTTAGCATTTATCGTTATCACTGTCATTTTAAGCTACATTTAATGCTCAGCAAGTATAGTCGCACTTTAATATATTGACTTTGACATATACAAAGCATTACAAGGCCTGTTGTCACAAATTGGAGAGGTACCATAGAGTTTATATATCTGTTCTGTGACTTATTTAACTCTAATGTTGCTCTGTTGTTGCTTGTCCCTCCAGAAACCACTGTGCCTATGTGGTGCAGAAGAACATCACGTGCATGTTGCAGGATGGAGTGGCTACCTATGTAAAAGCTGAGTACACCACCACGTGCATAAGGGGTCAGAAGTGTCCTGTTGTCATGTAAGCCTTTCAAACAACACGAAAACAACGTAAAACAGCACACACCTTTGACAATTCAGTTTTAAATGGTTTTACTTTTGGTTATAAATGTGCAGTTATTTAACAAACATCAGCATGGGGCACCTTGAAGGATATATCAATGGTTCCCTCTAGTGTCCACATAAAGTGCTGCTCAAAAACCATGTGAATAATTTAAATTCAAAAGACACCAGGCTACTAACACCATTTCTTTGTTAGCTCCTCCTGAATAATTAATTATGCTGGTTTACGTGTGGTTTTACTTGCTACTTACTTGCCTAATTGTGAAATTATAAAATGGGCAAAAACAAATAATACTTATAATAATGTAATATATGTATCCTGTGTGAGGAAGACAGTGAGAAAGAGCAGGTGTCTGATTCAAGATAACACTCAGGTTCGATGTTGACCTTGGTTCACATCTCTGATGCCCACACTTCATCTTAACCTTCAGGAGTCGAAAATCATGCATGTTGATGTTGTATGTCAGAGCAACTTCAACTGCTCTACACGTGCCATCTACCCATCCTTGTGACTTTTATCATCTTCTCCCTGTTTTGCTCAGGTACAGGACCTTCTACAAGCCAAAGTACAAGGTGGGTTTTAAGACAGTAACTGAGCTGGAGTGGAGATGTTGCCCTAGCTACTCTGGAGAAAACTGCTTTGATGGACCCACACCGCTGCCTGGTTTGCCCCATGTCCCTCGACCCCCTGTGGACCAGAGGCCCGGAGGAGGCCAGCTGGAACCAGGCAAACCATTCCCCTATGTGCCTGACCACAGACCAATACCCACAGGCCAACTGCCTGCTGGAAGTGGAAAACCACACTATGGTGAGAACATACTGTACTCCACATGATGTATTGTTAAACCCCGGAGTTTAAACTTGCCCTGCTGCTGTTGGTGTGCTAGTGCATGCTTTTGTGCATGTGAGCAAGGGCTTATTTTGTCCAACTACAGGCCTTTGTGAGAAAGCACCTTAGAGCTGTATCATCCTTTTTTAATATTGACGAACTTCTTACATTTTTCTTTTTGATCCTTGAAAATACAGGAAACAAATTTGGGATTTCTGGAGTCACTGGTGAACGTTTAGATCGTATGGAGAATGACCTGCGTCGGCTCACTCAGGGTCTAGACACTCTGAATGGGGTTGTGGCTGGCCTTGAGGAGCGACTGCGCACATCTCTCCGGGAAGACACCAAGAAAGTCCTGGTGTCTCTGCTGCCCAGTCCTGCTCATGTGCCTGGCTCTACTGTGGGTTTTGGCGTGATCCCAGATGGGACTCTGGCTGGACCAGAAGGAGAAGAAAGCTTCATTGGATTTGGAGACTTAGTAGGGAGAGTGACAGAAGTGAGGGATGAGCTGCGAGCCAAGACTCACATCTTAGAGGAGATTCAGGTACTGGGCCACTATGATTGTACAAAAATATAAACTATTGAACATATCTTGATCCAACTTGATCAGCCCTGACCAGACCACTTCCCCTGAATGTGTCTTTAGGGAATGGTCGTGGGTCATGATGGCCAGATTAAGACTCTGCTGGAGGGAGCCAATGGGAAGTCCACCCCTGGCTCTCTACTGGACGAGATCCTGGACACTAAGCTGGTGGGGGTGCGGGCTGAGATCCTAGATGGCTTTGAAAAACGTCTGACTGGTCTGGAGAACCAATGTAATGAGAAAATTGGGGAAGTGCAGAGGCAGTGCCAGAAGGAGCACATTGATGGCCAGGAGCAGATGCAGCAGTCTCTAGATGGAAGAGAGTCTGGGCTCAGGGAGGAGTTGGGCACTTTGCAGGCTCAGATCCAGGGACTGACCCTGACTGAGAGCTGCTGTGAACAGGTATGACACAGATAAGACTGCAATATGATCAGCATGCAGTAATTTCACTTTAACAAGGCAACACATTAATTTATTATTATGACTTTGATGCAGGAAAAATGCTTACTGTAAGAGCAATGACCAAAATGTATGTTTAACAGAACAGTTTGAATTTTGGGGTAAAGGCTAATTTGGTTTCCTCCAAAAGTTAGACGAGAAGATCAATACCTTTTTTTATGCCTGTACAATAAATATGAAACCAGGAGATGTTTAGCTTAGCTTACCATAAAGACTTGAAGAAAAGAGATTTCCATTTCCAGTCTCTGTGTTAAGTTAAACTAACCAGTCTCCAGACTGCAGTTTCATATTTATTGCACAAACAATAGAATGATATAGATCTTCTTATCTAATTCTTAATGAGAAAGTAAATAAGTGTAATTCCCAAAATGCTAAACTATTTGTCTAACTAAATACTGTATATTTCAGACTGTGTTAGTGAAAGGGAGTCACTACACAGTAATCGCATATGACTCAACTTTTTATTGTGTTACTTTTACACTAATAATAATATTGATTATTGTAGGTTAACAGCCTGTCCAAGCATGTGCTGCAACTGGAGGAGTCAGTGAAAGATTTGACAGAATCTCAGAGACACCTTCAGACTGCTCTCACTGACCAGAGCATCCATGTGGAGACACTGATTGAGACCCGTCTGGTGGAAATAGAGGGCCACCTCAATGCGACCGAGGGTGGAGCGTTCCCAGGTGGTCTGGATGGCTTCAAGAATACGATAGAGGGCAGGTTGAAGACCCTGGAGGACAGAGTGTTTGTGGTTGTAGAAGAGTTGAGTAATGCCACATCCCCTGCACTCCTGGAGGGCCAGGTGGTCCCTGCACTGGAGACAGAGACAGCGTCTGTGAGGAGGAGACTGGAGGGGGAGCTGGATGGCATTCAGAAACAATTAACAGACCTGGAGCTCCTCTGCACCTCCTCCTGCTCACCTGCCACTCCACCAGCAGGTGGTGTCAGTGTCACCCAAGTAGAGGAGGAATGTGATGGGATGGAGAAGAAGATGACAGATCGTCTGGATTCCCATTCTAACCAGCTTGACCTCCTAAATAACACCCTCCAGAACCTGCTTTTTAGGATTGCTCAGGAGGACACAGAGGGCTCCATCCAGGGAGAGATCACCCTGCTGAAGATCAACATCAATTCTGTGAACCGCACTCTGAAGGGTCTAAAGGACTCTATTAGCTTCATTGCAAGCGAAGTGGACCATGCAAATACCACCTGGGAGCAAAGAGAGCACCAGCTAGTCAACCAGGTGCAAGGAATCACCAGACTAGTGGGCCACCAAGCATCACTTCTGGGGGCCGGGGAGAGACGGCTGGCCCAGCTGAAGGATGAGTTAGTGGCCTTGAAGAGGCGGTTGGCCGGAGAACTGCAGGGCTGCCGGAGCACAGCGGTAGAAGTACAAAGGGAGGTGAAGGATGTTAATAGCAGGGTGAGCCAGGTAGAGGGTCAGTGCAGCACCCTGGGGGAGCTGGCGGAGCAGCTGGAAAGGATCAGGGCAGAGCTGGAGAAACACTCAGATTTGTACCTGGCCCAGGCGAATGGTACCTTGGTCATCCATTCAGAGCAGCTAGCTGAGCTGAAAGGTGAGGTCAAAGACTGTGTGGCCAAGGAAGCAGCCAACAAAAAAGGAGACCAGTAGCATCTGAGCTACAGAATAAAAAAAAAAAAAAGACCTGTGTGTGCTTCTCATTAGGCTCAAATGACTTCCTCTGCTGTTCTCCTCTCACTTTCAAATGCCATCTGTACAGATGCAAATTAATTGAACCAGTGACAGTCAGTTTCACTAAGCTTTCCATCTCACTACCCCCAGATGTCGTGGGTATCGAGTTCACTGAAATGAGGAGAGGCAGACACAAACGCAAAGACACATCTATAGTTGTATAGCTGGGCAGTATATTTTATTGTGATTTTTATTCTATAGGGCATTTGATTTTTTTTCTCTGATTATGATTGTTTTTTCATATTCTAACTTTTTTAACTTATATGAAGTGACTGCATTGTTATGATGTTAAACTGTTTGTATTAGAAAATAAAACATAAAACAAGTGA